ATCCCCCGTAGCCGTAGCCGTAGTTCACCCCCGCTGCCGTAGTAACCGGAGCCGTAGAAGCCGCCCAGGCCGGTGCCCAGCACGCCGCCGTAGCCGTAGCCGTAGTCCCAGGCCAGTGTGGAGGCCACGCAGGCGAACACGGCGATGCACAGCAGCATCACCGCGCCCTCCAGCAGCCGCACCAGCCCCGGCGGTGACGACCACTTGTAGAAATGCTGAGGGACGTCCTCGATGTAGTAGGAGCCCGGTGGCGGCGAGCGGGTGCTGAAATTGTAGCCGTAGTCACCCGTGGGTGGCCCGTAGGAGGCGGGGGGTGGCCCGTAGGCGCTGTCGTAGTGTTTCTTGGTGAACATCCCTGCAGGGGACAGGGGACAGAAAGCTCGAGAGAGGTTCTGTCACCGGAGGAGGTGGTGGAGGAAGGACTTTGGTCCCTTTGTCATTGTCGCCACCCAGCTGGAGAGGGAGTGGGAGGCACGGCGGTTTGTGTGGGGAAACTGAGGCACAGGGTTGTCGCACGGAGTTGGGGTGTCCAAAAAACTTTGGAGATCCCACCAAAGAAGCCTTGGAGACCCCACAAAAAAACCTGGGAAACCTCCTCAAAAAGAACCTGGAGAGACCCCCACAAAAAACCTTGGAGACCCCACCAAAAAAACCTTGGAGATCCCACCAAAAAAGGCTGGGAAATCTTCTCCAAAAGAACCTGGAAAGACCCCTCCAAAAAAAAACCTTGGAGACTCCTCCAAAAAAACCTTGGAGACCCCCATAAAAACCTTGGAAATCCCACAAACAAATTCAGAGACTCCCCCAAAAAGTACCTGGAGACTCCCTCAAAAAACCTTGGAGACCCCACCAAAAAAACCTTGGAGACCTCACAAGAACCTTGGAGACTCCATAAAAAAGACGCCACAAAAGTTTTGTGGGGAAACTGAGGCACGGCGTCGCCGCGGGTTGACGTGGAGAAACTGAGGCACGGTGAGTCACCGGCCGGTGCCACCCCAGGCACGCTGGGCTCTCGGTGTCACCTCCCTGTCCCCAACAGCCCGGAGCCGGCAGGGAATTAATTGGGATTGTTGAAATTCCCCCATGGGAAGCGGGGGGCCTAAGCTGATCCGGCCGGATTAAAAATCAAAATAATCGCAATCAAAATCAAAATAATTAAAAATAATTATAATTACCGAGTCCACGTGAGGCAGAACCACGAGGAGAGCGGCTGGAAAATTTGGGAGGGGGGGCGGGCTTAAAATCAGCAAAATTAATGTGGGGACCCCCCCGTGCCATGCAGAGACCCAAAAAAAAGCCAAAAAAAACCCCCCAGATCGCTGCGGGAAACGCGAATTCCTGTGGGAAACCCAAAGCGGGCGCCCGTTCCGGCGGTACCGGGGCTCGACGGGACCCCCGGGACGGGCGGGGAGGAGTTTTGGGGGTGCCCAAAGGTCCCGGTTCCCAATTCCACCGATCCCAAATGCCCCGGTCCCACCGATCCCAAATCTCCCGGTCCCACCGATTCCAAATGCCCCGGTCCCGGGCGGATCCCCCCGTTTGACTCCACTGGGGACCCCTGGGAGGCCACCGGGACCCGCAGCAGGGACCGGAGCGCGATGTCGCCGGTGGCGGCCGGGCTGGGGACGGCTCCGGTACCGGGAGCACTACCGGGGGCAGCACGGAGGGGATTTCAGTGGTGTCGGGGAGCCCGGTACCGGTGCGGAGCCGCTGGGGACCCCGCTACCGCTCTGGAATCCGGAACCGACGGGGACCCGGGTGCCCGTGGGGACCCCAGTACCGCTGTGGAATCCCGTGGCCGCTACCGGTGTGAACCTGTTGGGGCCCCGGTACCGGTGTGGACCCGGTGGGGACGCCGGTACCGCTTTAGGATCCGGTACCGAGGGGGACCCTGGTGCCGGTGGGGACCCCGGTACCGCTCTGGAATCCCGTGGCCGCTCCCGGTCCGGCCCGCGGTACCGGAGAGAAGCCCGGCGAGGCCCCCGGTGCCTCGGGGAAGGACGAACCCCCCCCCCCCCCCCCCGTGCGCAGCGGGGAGCGGAGACCCCCGTTGCTCCCTCCCGTTCCGGTACCGCCCTCCTCCCGCGCTGCCGGTACCGGTGCCGGTACCGGGGGTTCCCGGTGCCGCGGAGCCGCTCACCTGCCGCCTCCTCCGCCGCTTTGTTCACCTTAAAATGGCAGCCGGGAGCGGCGGAGGCGGCGGCGGCGGCGGCGGCGCTGCGGGACCTGCCCCGGGTCCCGCCCCCGGGGAGGGCGGGGGGCAGCACCGGGCACGGAGGGGTTAAAAGGGGGCGGGGCCCAACCGGGAGGAGCCCCCGGCGTTGGTCTGGGGGAAATTTTGGGGGGACAAAAGGAGAAATTTGGGACAGGAGGGTCCCCAAAGCGGGGGCGGCTTGAGATCATCCCGTCTCTCCCGAAAAAAAACTTGGAGATTTTTTTTGTTAATTACCAAAGGTAATTAATGAATTAATTAATGTTTAATTATCCCAGTTCCCGGGGGGGGGGGCAAGGGACACATCCAGGGGGGCGCAAAGGGGGCGGGGCCTCCCCAAAAACCTCAAAATGAGGGGAGGGGACCCCGGGGTGGCGCCGGGGGTGTCCCCGGCTGTCCCCGATTTTGGCGGCTCCGGTGGCACCGGGATCGGGATGGATCCCGCCGGGATCGGGATGGATTGTTCGGCCGCGGTGACACTTTTGGGGGCCCCTTTGGGGAGCCAGCGCCGTCCCCCGGCCTCCCCCGCGCCCCGGCAGCCCCGAGCGTCCCCCGCGCTGTCACCAGCTCGTCCTCGAAGGTGACACGCCTGGCACGCGCTGGCGGCGACATCGCCACACGAGGGGTGGCGGCGCTGAGGTGGTGTTGTCGCCGTGCGGGAGGACACGGCGGGGACCTCGCGGGATGTCACCGCTCCTGGCGACCGCGGCACCGCCGGGGGGCTCCTGGCGCTTCGAGGCCACCCCTGGAGGGGACACATAAGCCGCGGTGTCACCGTGACTCAGTTTCCCCCACGGGCCACATGCGGCCATCCCTCCTTGGTGGCACCGCAAGGCCACCGTGTCCTTCGGGGTGTCCCTATACCCCCACTTTGGGCTGGGATGAGCGGGAAACACCCGCTGGTGACTCTCAGGGACCCCCGTCCTATCCCCTCCCCGTGCCAGCCCTTGGGGACAATGGCCGGTGTCCTGTCCCCTGCCACCGCCGTTACCTGTCCGTCGCATGGGGAGGGGACACACGCGACCCCCGGGCACAGCGCGATGTCCCCTGGCTGCTCCCCAGTGCCACTAGCAGTGCCACTAGAAGTGCCACCAGCAGTGCCACCAGTGCCACCGCCGCCCGGCACCGCACGTTAATCATTGACAGCCCCGCACCACCCCGATTGTCGCACGGGGGCACCACGGGGCCACCACCCCACTCCCCTACCCGCGGAGTGTCCCCCACCCTCCTGGCGCCCCAAAAAGGGTCTGGGGTCCCCCAAAATCTGCCCCAAAAACCCACGCGGGGTTTTGTCACCTCCACAAAGTTCCCAGGGCCAGGGGAACTCCTGGGAGGGGGAAACCCAAAAATCCCCCAAAATCGGCCCAAAACCCCAAAAAATCCCCCCAAAACACAACCACCCCCCCAAACCTCCCCAAAATCCCTCCAAACCCCCCCAGGCCGAGCAGAGAGCGACATGTCCAGTTCAGGCTCCTTTAATTTGCGCCTCAGCCCCCCCAAAAAACCCCAAATCCCACCCACGACCTCCCAACAGCACGGAGGGAGCAGAACCGGACCCGAAGGGGTGTCCAGGACTGTGGGGAGGGGTCCTGACCCCCACCAGAGGGTCAGTATTGCATCCAGGGGTGCCCCCCCCCTCCCCCCCGCAATTTTCCAGCTGGGGGAAACTGAGGCACGGAGAGGTGACGGTGACATCGCCAAGGTCACTTTGGGGGCAGAGCCACGAATGGAGACCCTTCCCCCAAAAAAATCCACCCTCCCCCGACCCCATTTTGGGGGTCACCACGGGGGTCTCCCCCCCCCTCCGAACCCCCCACCCTGTCCCCAAATTTCAGCCTCCCCCCAAAAACCACTCATGGCTCCTGGTTTGTCCCCTCTGTCCCTTGTCCCCTCCCCTCTCCCACCCCCCCCCCCCCCAAAAAAAAAAGGCTCAGCTCGGCTCCCACCACTTGGGGGGTCACCACTTGGGGGGTCCCGGAGGGATTTTGGGGGGGTCCCGGGGGGGTTTGGGGGGGTCCAGCACAGTGAACGCAGGAGATTTTATACAGAGCTTTCCAGAACAAAGCTACGGGAACGGCCACACGATGGCCAGAGATAAACACGGGGACCCCCCCCGCACCCCAAACCGCGGGGGGAGTGAGGGGATGGGAGACCCCCCTGCACCCCAAAACCAGGGAGGTACAAAAGGTTCTGAGACCCTCCCCCTCTGCACCCCAAAACCGCCCTCCTGGGGCTGGGGGGGGACACAAAGGGGTCTGGGGGTGTCCCCAACGCCCCCCACCCCCTCCCCCGACGGCATCACCCACTGTCCCAGGTGACAGGAGGTGACACGGGGGTGTACCATGGCCCCCCACCCCACTGCCACAGTCCAAAGGGGTGGGAGGGTGACAGAAGGGGACAGGGGGGTGTCCCCAGCACCCCTCAGCTGCTGTCCGAGGGAACACACGGCAACACGTGGTGACACACGGTGACATGGTGCTGTCCCCATCACCCTGAGGTGACTGACACATGGTGACACAACACGGGTGTCTTGCCGCTGTCCCTCAGCCGCTGTCCGAGGTGACATGGGTGACACATGGTGACACGGGTGACACATGGGTGTCCTGCTGCCATCCTCCAGCCGCTGTCCGGGGTGACGGTGACACACAGTGACATGGTGCTGTCCCCATCATCCCGAGGTGACACACAGTGACACAGGTGTCCCACTGCCATCCCTCAGCTGCTGTCCGAGGTGACACGGGTGACACATGGTGACACGGGTGACACACAGGTGTCCTGCCTCTGTCCCTCATCCGCTGTCCGAGGCGGCCCGGGGGCTGTCCCGGGGGCTGTCCCGGGGGCTGTGCCGGGGGCTGTGCCGGGGGCTGTCGCTGCTGTCGCTGCCGTGGCAGGGGCTGCAGGGCGCGGTGGTGTCCCGCGGTGTCCCCGCTGTCCCCAGGGCTGTCCCCGGGGCTGTCCGGGCCGGCGGCTGGCGCAGGGCGCGGCCGAGCAGCGCGGGCAGTGCCTGCAGGAGCCCCCCCAGGGCCTCCAGCTGCGCCTCCAGAGCCCCCAGGCGCCGGCCCAGCTCCTCATGGCGCTCCTGCAGCTCCGAGAGCAGCTCCAGCATCACCGACTGAGTCTGCAATGGGGCACGGTCAGGGGCACCCCAAAAATAGGGGGTGTGGGGGCAGAGAGACCCCAGTAACATGGGGGTGTGGAATCAGGCATCACTGATTGCGTCTGCAATGGGGCATGGTCAGGGGGGACCCCAAAACAAGGGGAAGTTTGGGGTCAGGGGCACCTCAAAAATAGAGGGGGTTTGGAGTCAGGCATCACCGACTGCGTCTGCAATGGGGCATGGTCAGGGGCATCCCAAAAATAGGGGGACTTTGGGGGAAGGGGTCAGTGACTGTGTCTGCAATGGGGGTTGGGGTCAGGGGGATCCCAAAACAACAGGGGTGTGGGGGCACAGGTCAGCAAGACCCCAAAAACATTGGGGTGTGGGGGCAGGGATCAGTGCCACGCAAAAAATGGGAGGTTCGGGGTCAGGGATGGGTGTGACCCCAAAGCAATGGGGGGTTTGAGGAGGGTCTGATCCCATAAAAACAGGGGGTGGTAGGAGCTGGGTCTGACCCCATAAAAATGGGGGGTTTGGGGAGGGGTTGATCCCATAAAAATGGGAGGTTCAAAGCTGGTCTGACCCCACAACAATGGGGTTTTTGGAAGGAGCTCACCTTGGCCAGGTCCACCAGGGTGTTGGCCTGGTCGTTGAGTTTGCGTTGCTCCATCTTCACACTCCTCAGCCTGAGGGACAATGGCAGTCTTGGGGACACTCCTGGCAGCGCTCTCACCCCCTGGCAGCTCTGTCATCCTGCAAGCGTGGTGTGTCCTCCCCCCCGACCCCCAGCAGCGTTGTCACCCCCCTCAGGAGCTCTGTGACCCCCCCTGGCAGTGCTGTCATCTCTGTCCCCCCCCATGCAGCCCCTCCCCCAGACGTGCAGCCCCTCCCATAAAGCGCAGCCCCTCCCCCCCAAACCAGCCCCCCCCCGGGAGGGTCTCCCCCACCCCAAATGTGGCGGCAGAGCCCGTGCGAAGCTGGGGGGACAGGGGAAGGGGGGCACTTACTTCTGAGCTCTGCGGGGGCAGCGCAGCAGAGGGAAAACAAAGGGTTAAAGGCGAGGGGACAGCACGGCAGCGACACCCGCCACCACCCCGAAGGGACCCCAAAAAGGGACCCAAAGGGACCCCCCTGTCCCAGCCAGGCCACCCGCAGACCCCACCCGGAAGATGGAGGTGTCTGGGGGTCACCCCAAAGGTGACCGGTGGGGGGTGAGGGACAGGGACAGGAGGGGGACAGGGACGGGGACAGGGACAGGGGACAGCAGAGGTGGGGGACACAGAATGGCACAAGGGGAAAGGGATGGAACAGGGGATGGGGACAGCGGATGGAGGACAAGGACAGGGGACAGGGAATGGGGACAAAGAGAGAGAGGACAGAGGACAAGGAATGAGGACAAGGACAGGAGACAAGAATGGGGACAAGAACAGGATAGGGGACAAGAACAGGATAGAGGACAAGGCCAGGGGAGGGGGACATTGGGAATGGGGGACAGGGGACGAGGAATGGGGCCAAGGAATGGGGCAGAGGTCAAGGCCAGGAGATGGGGACAAAGGCAGGGGACAAGGACAGGACAGAGACCAAAACCAGGTGACAAACCCAGCAGAGACACCCGCTAGGGTGACAAACCCAGGCCACCCCAATGCTGACCATCTGTCACCCACCCAGAGGGGACACACCCCCTTTGGAGACAGGGCCGCGGCCCGAGGGGGTGACAAGGAAGCAGGAAAAGCGGTGGCACTTACTGATGGATGGCTTGAAGGAACTTACGCTGGTGGGTCCGAACTTTGGCGTGGTCGATCTTCTTCACCAGCTTGGTGTGCTTGTAGATGAGCCACGTTTCCCTGAGCACGTTGGCAGCGGCGTTCTTCACCTGCGACCCCAAATCCCACCAGTCACCCATGAAGGGACTTCAGAATTGGCTTTTTTCCATTTTTTCCCATTTCCCTCCACACTATTTTTGGGTTTTTTCCCACTTTTAATTGTTTTTTTTTGCAATTTTAATTGAGATTTTCATGAATTTAATGGAATTTTTTTCTCAGTTTAATGTGGTATTTCCAGGTTTTAATGGGTTTTTCCCAGTCTTAAGGGGATTTTTCCCATTTTAATGGGTTTTAATGGGAATTTTTCCATTTTAATGAGTTTTAATGGGATTTCCCCCAATTTTAACCGGATTTTTTCCATTTTTAATGGGATTTTCCCCATTTTAATGGAGTTTTCCCCAGTTTTAACATTTTTTCCCATTTTTACCGGGATTTCCCCATTTTTTGGGCCAAGCCAGGCACTCTCACCCGCTTGGTGAGCTGCGTGTCCATCATGAAGTTGTGGACATGTTTCTCGGCTTTGGTCAGCTCCAGCTTCCGGGCCACCACGGCCACCACCAGCGCAGTGCAGCCGGCGCCCTGTGGGAACATTGAGGACAGCATTGTCTCCCCCCCCTTGTTTGCATTTTTGCATTAATTTGGGTTTAAAAATTAAAAAAAAAACCATGGCAGGAAGCGGAAATTCCAGTTTGCTTCTCAATCTGGAGTTAAAAATAATCTCTTTTCCCAAGTGGAAAATCTCCTCGCGGTGTCCCCAAGGCGGTGTCCCCTCATGGTGTCACCTCTTGGTGTACTCTTCCATGTCCCCTCTTGGTGTCCCCTGGTATGTCCCCATGCAGTGTCCCCTCTTGGTGTACCCTGCCATGTCCCTGCCTGTCTCCTCTCGTTGTCCCCAGCCTGTCCCCAGCTGTGTCCCCTGGCTGTCCCCACGCTCACCATGATGCCGGTGAGCAGGCACACGCCCTTGCCGCAGTAGGTGTGTGGCACCATGTCCCCGTAGCCGATGGACAGGAAGGTGATGGAGATCAGCCACATGGCCCCCAGGAAGTTGCTGGTCACCTCCTGCTTGTCGTGGTACCTGCACAGGGCGGTGGCACCGCTGTCACTGCTGTCACCAGCATAACTGAATTCCTCTCCCCATTTTGTGCCCATTGCAGTGGATTTGAGGCGTTGTCCCCAAGATGGAATTGGGGACACCATGGGGATGTCCCATGGCCAGGCTGTGTCCCCCTGGGACAATGAGGGGACAGCACAGAGGTGGCACCACTGTCCCCAAAAACGCGGGATGCCGATGTCACCGTTCACCCCCAAAGGCCACCGCGGGTGATACCGGGGGGGAGAACGGGGGACACTGTGAGATTCCGATGTCACAAACGCCGTGGTGCCACCACCCCCCCTGTCCCCAAGGGTGGGGACAAGCCTGGCTGGGGGACACGGAGCAGCGGTCAAGCCGGGCAGGGGGACAGGGACATGCGGGGAAATGGGGCGGGAAACGGGGAAAATGGGATTGGGAAAGGGGGAAATGGGATGGGGAAAGGGGAAATGGGACTGGGGAAAGGGGAAATGGGGTGGGAAAAGGGCAATGGGATGGGAAAAGGGAAAATGGGGTCAGAAAAGGGAAAAGGGACAGAGGAACAAGCCGGGGCGGGGCTGTGGGGTCTCAAGCATCAGGAATTTAGGATTGCTGCTTCCCAACCCGGTCTGGGCTTGGAACCTCACCTGGCAGGGACTTGGCAGGCACAGCCCAGGGTGAGGGCGGAAGTGACAGCACGGTGACAATTCCCGGGACCCACATTCCCAAGGAACACCCGGGATTCCCCACCAAGGAACCCAAAACGTGCGGGGCCAGGAGGGGAAAGGTGAAGGGACAAAAGACAGATCCCAGGAGAAAAAAAAAACCCTTTGGAGACTCCCAGCTCCTTGTGGGGTCTCTCTGAAAGTCCCCCACAGCCACCACGGAGGTCCCCAAGGCAGGGGATAACGGGGAAGGGACAGGAAGCAGCTGCTGAGGTTCCAAGACGAAAAGGGCTCCAGGCCCCTTTCCACGCCCCCCTCCCGCCCCCGGCCGCAGCCAATCCTAAATTCTGGGGATTCGGGGAGCAGAAGCCTGGGGCAGGGGACGGTCCCTGCGGTCACTCGGGACAGTCCCCGCGGTCACTCACAGTTTGTCCCTGCAAGCAGCAGAGCGGGCAGGGAGGGAAAACAACAGCGGTTAATGCGCGACCCCGGGGGGCTGGGGGGGCTTGAAACCAGCAGGGGCGAGGATCACGGCGGGGACATCCCGGGAACCCCGCGGGGACATTCCTGGCACCCCGCGGGGACATCCCGGCACCCTGCGGGGACATCCCAGACACCCGCGGGGAGCAGCTGAGGAGCGTCCTGAGGGCAAGTCCTGGAGGGTCCCCTCGGTGGCAATGTCATAATCTCGGACCCCTCTGTGGGACCCCAAATCTTTGGTCCCCTCTGCAGGACTCCAAATCTTTGGTCCCCTTGGCAGCTCCAGCTCTTTGCACCCCTCTGCAGGACCCTCAACCTTCATACCCCTCTGTGAGACCCCAAACCTTTGGTTCCCCCTGAGGGACCCCCAGTTTTCATCCCCTCGCCACCCCCCAGCTCTTGGTTCCCTCTCTGTCACCCCCAGCCTCAGCAGGCCCCAGCCCAGGGTGACACGGAGGAGCCTGGGGACAACTCCACCTGACAAACCCCGAACATCCTGACCATGGGGGTCTCCCCACCACTCAAACTCCCCGATACCTCCTCAGCTGCACCCCCAGCCCCTCCCACCGAAACCCCCTCACTTAGAATCCCGTGAAAATCCCAAAATGGAACCCCTAAAAGATGGCCTTTGCCTCCACCCATGAAAACCCCAAAATAGAACCCCTAAACCCCAACCTTTGCCTCCACCCATGAAAACCCCATGAAAACCCCACAAAAACTCCAAAACTGGAACCCCCAAACCCCGACCTTTAACTCCACACTCAAAAACTCCAAAATGGGAACCCCTAAGCTACAGCCTTTACCTTCACCCACGAAAACCCCAAAATGGAACCCCTAAACCCCGAACTTTCCCTCCACCCACAAAAACCCCCTGAAAATCCCATGATAAGCCCAAAACAAGAGCCCTCAAACCCCAACCTTCCCCTGCCTCCCCAGCCCCTCACCTCTCACAGACGCGCACAGTCCAGGCAGCGATGATCCAGGAGGAGATGCTGAAGACCAGCAGCACCGTCCCAGGGCAGATGGTCATGAGGGTCTTCATGACAAAGCGCGTGTTGAAGTTGATCTTGTTGAGCGCGCCGATGCTGCGTGACGAGGCATCGGTGAAGAGCTTGCTGTGCAGCAGCATCACGCGGCCGATCAGGTAGAGCCGGAGGAACATGGGGATGGACAGGATGATGTCCACGTCGGCGTGGGCCACCGAGGCCGCGTAGGTGAAGGCCAGCCGGGCCGTCCAGGTGAACAGGTACTGCCCAGGGATGGGGTGGATGGCGCACACCAGCAGCTCCAGCGCAATGAAGAAGACACGCTCCGAGGTCATGGCGATGCGCCAGTCATCGGCGCCGTTGTCCACCATGAACAGCTGCGGAGGTTTGGGTTCATTTGAGGGGTTTTGAGATAATTTAAGGGGCAATTTTGGTTAATTTGAGGGGTTTTGAGTTAATTTGAGGAGGTATTAACTTATGGAGTATGTTAACTCATGGGTATTATTTTAAGGATGACTTGTTTTAGTATAAACCCAAAACTTCTTTTTATTTATTTTCAGGAACAGAGGAGTTGGGTTTTTCCTTGTTTTTTGGATATTTTTGCTGGTGCCACACCCCCAGCCAGCTGCCAGCAGGTGCCCCTCCCCCCCCCCCCCCCCCCCCCCCCCCCCCGCCTCGGCCAGGGACGCTCACCTGGATCTCCCTGGCATGGTACATGACAATGAGCCCCAGCAGGATGAGCGTGGAGAGGCTGATAAGGCATTTCAGGGCAAACGAATACGACGATTCCTACGACACCATAGAACCACCGTGAGCTCAGCCGGACCCCGGATCCCCTCATCCCCACCCTGAGACCCCTCCCCACCTTGGTGTAGACCCCCCAGGAGAGCTCAGTCTCCGTGACCATCACCACGATGCCGAACATGCCGAAGATGAGCGCGTAGTCGCTGAGCCGCTTGCGCTTCTCGAAGAGCGCTCGCCGGTGGCCCAACTTGTAGCCGATGTTCTGGTTCCGCCGCTCCTCCGCCGCCCCCTGCCCCGGGGGGGCCGCGGCGGGGCCGGGCTCCGCCGTCCCGGGCTGCTCGGGCCGGGACACCACAACCTGCAGGCGGGGGCTGGGGCAGGGCAGCGACGGCTGCGGGTCCTGGTGCGGCGGCTGCGGGGTGCGGGCGGCGCTCGGGGGGCCCCGGGGCCGCGCCACCCCCCCCATTGTAGCGATAGCTGCTCATGGCTTTTCTGGCGACAGCACCGGGAGATCCCGCATGGCTCGGCGGCGCGGGGGCGACCTGCGGGACAAGGGACACGCGGGGGGACACGGTGGGTGGCCGGGGAGGGGACGCGGGGAGAGGGGATCCCGCCCGGACTCGGGGGGTTTTTGCCCGGCTTCGACGGCGATGGGGACACGTCCTGCCCGTGGGGGACACGCAGTGACCACACGGACACGTCCTGTCTGTGGGGACATGTGCTGCCCGTGGAGGACACGCGGTGACCACAGGTCCGTGTCCCGCCTACGGCGTGGCGCTCGTGGGGGACGTGGCCGTGTCCTGCCCGTGGCGGGGACACACGGTGACCACAGGGACGCGTCCCGCCCGAGGGGACACGTCCTGTCCGCGGGGCCGTGCCCGTGCCCGTGTCCTGCCCACGGAACCGCGTCCCGCCCCCCGCGCTGCAGACACGGCCGCCAGGACGCGGCCACCCTCCGCTCCCGGTGGCCGCTGTCCCCTGTCCCCTCCCCGCAGCCGCGGGACATCCCCGGTCCCGAGCGGCGGCTGCGCGTCCCCGCCGCCCCCGAACGCGCCGTGCCCGGTCCCGCCGTGCCCAGGGCTGCCGGGGGGGCTCCGCCGCGGCTCCCCCCACTCCCGGTGCGGCCCTGCCGTGCCCGGTACCTGCCGTACCCGGGGCCTGCCCGCGGGGCTAGGGCCGGGTCCCGGTCCCGCCGCCGCCGCAGCCCGAGCCGGTCCCGGGGGCGCGCGGCGGCGGCTCCGGAGCGCCGGGGGCGGGGTTAGAGGCGTGGTCCGAGCATATCCCGCGATCTGACTGGTCCGTGCAGCCCCCGCCCTCGCTGACGAGCACCGCGCCACGCCCTTGGTCACGCCCCCTTATGTTGGCCGCACCTCCTGCTCCCTCCGTGCCCTCCCGGAGACCCCGGGACCCCGCGGCCCCCTCCCCAAAAACGCCCCCTCCCCATCCCAGACCTTCAGCACCCCTCGGGACCCCCTCCCCACCCTCGAGCCTCGCTGCACCCCAAAATTCATCACCCCCCCTTGTCCCCCCCAAAAACACCCCCGTGCACCCAAACATCCCCGGTGCTCCCCAAAACTCCCCCAGTGCGCGCCAAACACCCCCACTGCACCCCAAAACACCCCCCGTGACCCCCGCCGTACCTGCTGGGGCTCCCCGGGGCCGCCCGGGGGGGTCCCGGGGCCGTCAGGGGCTGCGAAGCCAGGGCCGGGTGCGGGGCCGGTCCGGGGGTCCGGGGGCCATGGGCTTCCCTCCACGCCTGCCCAGGGGACACTCAGCGTTAGGGGGTCCCCAAACCCCCCTGGTGACAGAGCTGGCACTGCCCAGGAGGGTCCTGCCCTAGCAGTGCCACCCCCAGGGGTCACAGTGTGCCCTGCACCAGCGAGTGCCGGGCACAAGGGGATGTCACAGGAGTGTCCCCATGGCATGAGGGGCTGTGTCACACCGATGTCCCCTTTGTACGAGGGGCTGTGTCACACCAATGTCCCCATGGCACAAGGGGCTTTGTCACACGAGTGTCTCCTTGGCACACAGGGCTGTGTCACACTGATGTCCCTGTTCAGGAGGGGCTGCACCACACCCATGACCCCATTTCATGCAGGGCCCTATTGCACCAACAACCCCATTGCACGGGGGGTTTCATCCCATAAAAAACACCCATTGCATGAGGGGTTATTGACACAAAAACCTCATTGCATGGGGGATTACATCCCATAAAAACCCTGCTGCACACAGGGCTGCACCATTCAAACAACCCCATTGCATGGGCGATTACATCCCATAAAAACCCCATTGCACGAGGGCTGCACGGTACAAAAACCCCCATTGCACGAGCAGCCCTACTGCACCAACCCCATTGCACAAGGGGTTACATCACATGAAAACCCTATTGCACGAGGGGCTGCCCCATACAAATACCCCACTGCATGAGGGGATTACATCACACGAAAACCCCATTGCACGAGGGATTATGTCACATGAAAGCCTCATGGCACATAGGCCTGCCCCATAAAAATATCCCCATTGCACGGCAGCCCTATTGCACCAATAACTCCATTGCACAAGGAGCTCACCACAGGAAAACCCTACTGTATGTGGGGGGGCTCTGTCACATGAAAATCCCATTGCACAGGGGGCTGCACCGTACAAGAAAAACCCCATTGCATGAACAGCCCTACTGCACCAACCCCATTGCACGAGGGGTTACATCCCATAAAAACCCCATTGCACAAGGGGCTGTGTCTCACTAAAACCCCATAGACCGGTGGGCTGTGTCACACTAAAACCCCGTTGCTCGAGGGGCTGGACCATACAAAAACCCCATTGCACGAGGAGCTGTGTCTCACTAAAACCCTGCTGCATGAGGGGCTACACCATTTAAAAAAACGCCATTGCACGAGGGGGCCCCATTGCACCAAAACCCTGTTCTGTGCGGGCCAGCACCGCACTAAAACCCCATTGCATGGGTGCCTCTGTCACACCAAAACCCCATAGCACGAGCGGCCCTACTGCTCCACCCCCATTGCCACCCCGCAAACCCCTCTTGCACAACACCCCACAACTCCCCAGACCCCAAACCCCAAATCATCCCCGACCCCCCGGGGGCTCCCCCATCCCTGCAGCGCCTCCCGGGCTTTGAGGCCACCAGCAGGGGACAGCCCCTACTGTCCCCATTCCCGGGGGGCTACGGGGCCCCGGTTCCGCGGTCCCTGAGCTGCCCCCGGTACCCCGGGAGCCCCGGGGGAAGTGGGGCCAGCTCCAGCGCCCCGCTGCTCCCGGTGTGCGGCCGGGCCTGGCTCCCCTCCAGGGCCGGATCGTTTTCTCTCCATTCTGCCAAATTTATGGCAGGAAAATGGGCTCCGATTTCTTTTTAATATTCGGTGTGGTGACGAAAAAGCCGCAGCGGGCAGGGACAGAGGGGAAATGTTCCTCCCAGCCTCCAGGGCCCTGCCCTGAGGCTGTGCCAGGCCCCACAGCCGGGAAAAGTTTTTGTCACCTCGGATGGGGGTGGGTGAGGCCACCGCGGGCTGGGGACGGTGAATATTTCATGAGGCACCGCTCCGTGGTGGCTTCACTGCTCTGGATGGTGGCAAACAGGGCCCAGATCCATCTTCCCCCTGCCCGAGCATCCCCAGGGATGGATCCCGCATCCCAGGGAGGCCTTCTGTCCCTGTCCCTATCCCCTGTCCCTGTCCCTGTCCCCAGTCTCTGTTCCCTGTCCCCTGTCCCTGTCCCCAAGGGGACACCCTGGCTGGTGGCTGCATGCCTGGGGTGGTCCTGCCTGTCCCCATCGTCCCCAAGGCGGGGATGGGGATGGGGACATGGCAGGTCCACTGTCACCGCGTGTCCTTGAGCCACGGCCACCAGTGTCCCTGCTCCGGGATGTGACGCTGTATCAGGACACCCACGGGTGGCTCTGCCACCCTCCACACGGGGACAACGGACAAGGGAGAGCTGCAGATCCCACCATGCTGGGGCAGGACCCTTGGGTGACGACAGGAAAGAGTGACAGCATCTCCCGCGGCAGGGACACGCGTCGGGACACCCCATGGCCGGCCTGCAGCAGCCCCCAGCGCCCCGGGGGTGACAGTGGGGTGGCAGCGGGGGGACAAGGGGACCCCCCGCTCCCCCCGTGCCCGGAGCAGCGGAGGCGCTGCCTCGGAGCAACTGCAGAGAAGGGGAGGGCGCGGCTATAAATAGCGGCGGGTTCCCCGCGGGTGATTTATTTATTCCCCTCTCACTAATTCCTGCCCGGGTATCTCTGCGGGGTGGGGCACGAATCCTGGGGGAGCCGGGCTGGTGGCACCGCGGGGACAGCAGAGTGACCCCCGCCTGCGCTGCTCGGGGCTGCGGGGACAGCACGGTGACCCCGCCCGGGGTCACCGGGGCTCCCCGCCAGCCGCCACCACGGCCCGGGGCTTGTCGGGGGCACCAAGTGCGTCAGACCCCCGGCTGCCCCCCCCCTCCGTCCCCAAAAATCCGCCGCGTGGCCCCGGTTCCTGCGGCCGCCGCCAAGTCCTGGCCATATGTCCCAGGCCGGGAGCAGCTGGCGGTGCCCGCGGGAGCCCCCGGCCCCCGCTGCCCACCCGCCGGCGAGGGGCGGGGCGGGGGCGGCACCGCCGCTGCCTCCCGAGGGCAGTGCAGGGGGGCTCACTGTGATTTGGGGGGGCACAGAACCGGCTGAGAGGAAGCAGGACGAGGCCACGCGGCTCCCCAAAAAGCAGCGGGATGGCTCAGCCCAGCCGTGCCACGGGGGGACCCTCGGGGGTGGCGACACCCGCGACCCCCAGGTCCCCCCCGTGTCCCCCCCCCGGCACAGCGGGTTGGGGGCACAGGGGCAGTGTCCGGCCTGGGGGGGTTTCCCCCACGCAGAATCGGACCCGGTGCCACCCCTGGGGCGTCCGTGTGTCCCCCACAGCGCAGGGGGAGGCGCAGGAGGTGGCACACCCGCAAGGACACCCGAAGCTCCCCGGCCCCGCCGCGACGCCGGGGAATCCCCGCCTGGTGCCGGGGTCTCCCCGAGAAAATCCCTCCGCAGAGACCCGCCGGGACACCCGGCACCGCCGCTGAATCCGGGGGACACGGCCACAGCCCTCATGTCCCAAGGCCTGGCAGAGACAGCCGTGATCCCCCCCGCGACACCCCCAACCCAAAGGGGGACCCCATCCCCATCCCGCCCGCCTCGGGAGGGGACGCGCGGCAGGGGCCACTGTACCTGCCTGGGGCCCCGCGGGTGCGTGGGGCTGGGCTGGGGGGTCCCGGGGGGTGCAGCGGGGGGTGGGGGGGTGGGGGGGGGTGGGTCCGGGCCCCCCACGCCCCCCCTTGGCCGCCACCGCACCGGCGTCCCCAGACAAAGCCGCCGCGCCGGGTTCTCCCTGCGCCTCCCCCACGCGCTCGGCTCAGCCAAAGGACAAAGCCGCTCCGCCTGGCTGCCCCCGCCGGGCCACCGCCGACCCCCGCTCCGGGCCACCCGGGGGGGACACGGCCG